ACACGCTCATGAATAATGACTCTCTGAGCTCGGTGCGACTGTTATCTCAGGGAAAAGGATTCTTTTTAAATATCACTGTTGTGGGGAGAGTGTGTGGCACGCGCTGTGCGCAAAGCCTTGCGCGTAAAAGCTTCAATCTGCTTACTGGAAGTGATGGGCAATGAGGTTATCATTTCTCATCTTTAACAGCAGAATAAAACGAGTAAACAGGTAACAATGTGCCACAAATTCAGCTTAAATTCATAAATATTTTATCTGACAAGTTTCCCTTTCAGATTATGATTACACTTCAAATCTGTTCAGCACAGAGCGAGTTGGGTGTGAATGTGGCACGCACTCTCCTGCAGCCCACAAGTGCGCCTCTGATCCTGGAGAGGAACGTGAGCGGAAAGTCAAACTGCGCGAAGCGGCTCCAAACAGCAGCTCGTGTCGGGGAAGTGGGCAACCAGGGCCCAAAAGCCCCCGCTGGCTGCCACAGTCTAAAACGCTACTTTGCTCAAATCTTATAGTGATGGGGAGGGAAAATGGTCCCGGGAGAAGCGGACCCCCCCGCCCACATGGCTGAGCGCACAGCCCTGGATATGGAGCCAATCCATTAGTGATGGAGGACATTTTCTCCCGTTCTTTAGATCTAAATGCGATTTTTAAACCATCAACATCAAAGCAGAATTTAACAAATCCAGTTAAAGTCCAGACTGGAGCAGAGCTGCAAACTGGCGAACACCCCCCCCCCCCCCCCACCCCACACACACACACACACACACACAAAAAGTGCTTTGTATTGGTCATCCAATAGAAAAGTGGTTTCCTTTACCTTGAAAAGTGTTTGTATTCCTCACGTTGCTGTAAAATGCCAGTAAGATGGAAAGAAGGGACGCGGCTCGCGCTCTGGAACACGGACAGTTTCCTCAGCAGCCGCGGCGCGCTCCTCTCCGGGCGACCTGCAGCCGACAACTGCGCTCCTTCCTGCTCAGACAGGGCGATACCACCGGGCTGGGGGGGTGGGGGTCTGCAGGGGAAGGAGGATGAGGGGGAGGAAAAGATGGGGCCGATTTACAAGCTCTGGAATGAAGAGTGCGCGAGGACACGGTGGAGAGGTGGATGTGCTGCACCAGCGCGTCCGTTCACACCGCAAGCACTGAGGGAGTCGGGTGGGAGGGAGCGTGGGGGGTGGGGGGGCTTCTGGGAGAGCTTGGTGTTGTTCACCCGGACTACCTGCTGTGCGTCTGCGCGCGCGGCGGTAACCTGGCAATGCAACTCCACAGAGCCTCACTGTTTCACTGCTCTGCTTCACAGAAAACCTTAAAGAGATACTTCAGATTTTTCAAAGAGGTGCTCAGTGGAAAGGTCACGAATAGTTAATATATTACCTGTTGCATGAAGCCCATAAAGAAAGAGTCCAGCCAATCAGCAACAAACAAAGAGGATATCAACGTTTAGTTCCCAAGTGACGTCACACTCTGCATCCTGGGCACTCCTCCATCCCAGAGGGATAAACTAACCAAAAGCATCTTTCATCTTCAGAGCGCACGAGTCCATGTCTGTGCACCGGTGGATTAAAAGTTGCACCAAAACAAACCAAATAAATCAGGAACATCAAGTTTTCGTTACATCCCGCAACTGAAAAACCATGAAGGCACACAAGCTGCAGCTCGGAGTGAAGCGCAGAGGAGTGTCCCTGATAAAAGAAACAAGATGCAAACATCAAGGAACGACTCCCAACACTTCGTTACAACTTGTCAAGTGTGATAAATCAGCAACTCGTCAATTTTCTACTGATCTGGCGCCAAACATGAGGCTGCGATCGTGCATTTTAAATCACTGCTTTTAACTTCGAATGTGACGCGTGACATTACTGACGAAGAGTAAATTATTACGTCACATATTTCTGTTAAACTAGTTTACAAACAAACACTGTTAACTCACCCGGCCTGTGATCAGAGTAATGTTTGTTGTCCGTCACACAGCGAAGAGGAAGAAGTGGAAATCTGTCCATACGCTTTACAAATTTATTGCTTAAAAGTTTGGTTTCCTCAAACGATTGGGGTGGCCAATGATTAATCTATGGTGGCCAAGGCCACCACTGGCCACCCCCTGGCTCCACCATTGCTCCTGTTGGTGGATCAAATTGCTCCCTCTGCTCACCAGATCCGTCACTCTGCCAAACAAGCAAAAGGTAAAAAATAAACACCTGCTCTTCAATATGTTGCACAAAAAAACAATAAAGTTTAACTTTTCACTTCCAGTCGAAAAAAACACTCAACGTTCACGGTTCAAATCCCTCAGCGCTTCCTTCACTCACCCAGTTATGGTTTGGGTAAAAGTGTCTAAAGATTTTAATGCACATAATCCCTGCACAGCGTGCACTTGTCTTGTTGATTAGATCACAGTTCAAAGTGCGTCGCTGCCGGGACGGAGTCTGACTCGCAGCCCTGACCCTAACACCTCGACTGGAACAATCCCGGCACCTGTGCTTTGTTTCTTCAACAACACACTCATGTTTCTAGAAAAACTTTTAGGATTTGGTGAAACAGTTTACAAAAGTTTTGACAAAAAAAAAAAAGGGGCTGTAAAAAAACTCATAACTTTGTACATGCTTTGAGCATGCATCAGGATATTTGTACATGCTGGTTACAGATCATCCAGTGTGGTCTGAGAACTATCGTGTAAACTTGTATGGCAGCTGTGGCTGAGTGGTTAGAGCAGCTTGGAGTATCTTGATTAGACAGAAAGGAGCTGTAGAAGTACAGTCTGTTGACCATTAACGTGTCATTTTCACATTGCATGGCTATTCTCACAGAAATATTATGTTCCTGCTTCCTCCTCCACCATAACCCTCAGCACTGGCTCTCCTCAGGGATGTGTGCTGAGCCCTCTCCTGTTCACTCTGCTTACATATGACCTACCCATCCAGGCTGTCACATTATAAAGTTTGCAGATGATACAGTGGTGGTGGGATGCATCACAAACAATGATGAGTCCAGTTACAGGCAGGAGGTGGAACACCTGGAGAGCTGGTGCAAAGAGAATAACCTTCACATCAATGTGAAGAAGACAAAGGAGATGATTGTGGACTTCAGAAGGAACAAAACCACCTACACCCCCCTGAACATAAGAGGATCTGTGGTGGAAGTGGTCTCCAGCTACAAGTACTTGGGTGTACACATGAATGACAACCTCAGCTGGAGCAACAACACCACCAGCCTGATGAAGAAAGCTCATCAGAGACTCTACTTCCTCAGGCGGCTGAGGCGAGCTGGTCTGGAAGCTCAGTCCTCACCTCCTTCTACAGGTGTGCAGTGGAGAGCATGCTGTGCTCCAGCATCAACGTGTGGCATGGAGGCTGCACAGCTGCAGAAAGAAAAGTTCTGCAGAGAGTGGTGAAGGCTGCACAGAAATCTGTTGGAGTCAGCCTCCCCACCATCACAGACATCTACACCTCCAGATGCAGGAAGAGGGCCACCTGCATCATGAAGGACCCCACTCACCCAGCACCACACACTTTTTTTTGCCCCAATCCCCTCAGGAAGGAGGTTGAGGAGCATTAAGTGTAGAACCACTAGACTCAGGAACAGCTTCTACCCTGAGGCTGTTAGACTCATGAATCTCTAACTAGAATAATCACTGTGAAGAATCACATCATGATGCTGCTGATCTGTTTCATGTTGCTGCTGATCTGTTTCATGTTGCTGCTTATCTGTTTCATGTTGCTTATCCGTTTCATGTCGCTGCTGATCCGTTTCATGTCGCTGCTGATCCGTTTCATGTCGCTGCTGATCCGTTTCATGTCGCTGCTGATCCGTTTCATGTCGCTGCTGATCTGTTTCATGTTGCTGTGTTCTTGCATGATCTCACACAGACTCATGATCGTGCTGCTCTTCAGCGTAATGTTTTAATGCTGTTAGTGCTTAGTTTATATTTAGCTGATGTTGTTCTTAGTTCATATCTTAAATCTTATTATCGTTTTTCTTTTATATTTTATTGTTGGATGTAACTGGGACCCTGTGGACATAATTTCGTTCCACCACATGTACCACATGTGGTGCGAATGACAAATAAAGAGCCTTGAACCAAAAGTGTCCCAGAAGCTTACAACTGCTGCGTTTTGTGATTGTAAATAAGTATATAAGTTTATTTTAATAATAATTTATGACAAAAGTAACAGTGGAATGGTTGAGTGCTTGCATGAGCATCTGTGTAAGTTTTGAAACTGGAGTTGTTTGAAATGACAACAATCTTCTGCAGTCTGCTCAGACTAGCTGCTGCTCATCAAACTGGTCAGAATTCAACTTTTGACATTCAAAAATCCACCTCCAGCAGGTAAGATATTAGTTATTCATAACCAGAATCCCACTTTAAAGAATCTTGTTACTTTAAAAAGTAAAAGCGTTTTTTTTTTTTTGGTGAAGTTCTTATTTACTCAACAAAATTAGATTTATTAAATATTTAAAGTTATTATCTTGCTATTTCTTTTGTTGGGCGTCTCGCAGGGTGAAAATATTCTATTCATCAGCAAGTAAATTACTCAAACCATTAATTTATGACTTTTACATGTTTCCTCTTTCATTGTCAGACAGACAGAGTTATAGCAATACGTTTCCCAAACATTTTTACTGTTGTATTTGCCATTAGGGATTTTTAAATTAAAAATAAACTGTAAATTTGATGCTGTTAGGAGAATTTCATCAGTCCTGAAGGAACCAGTCTAATTGATGAAGTTAATGAAGCTCCATTTAATCGCAAGTCAATTAGCTAATTACCTTCCAGTGTAATGAACCGTGCCACAGCTGAACTACATGATAATAAGATCAATCATGGATCCTTCAGCGCCTACAGCCGCCGCTAACCCGGAAACATAAAAGCTCACGGTTATTTTGCTGAATGGAGGCGGCAGGTGTGAAATCCTACCCGTAACGTTTAACAACTTCACTTCCCAGGATGCTTTGCGCCGAGCCGAAGGTTTCCGTGGAAAGCCGGAATGCGCATGCGTATCCAGACGTGGCAGCGGCATCATGGCCTCCTGGAATCGCCACCGGAGAAGGATGGGAGACGGGAAAATGTTGGCGCTGGTGCTGCTGGTGAGTCGAACGGACCGCGGTTCTGCCGTCAGGAAACTGTGTGTTGTTGTGGGACACCCCGGGGCGGGCGGGGGGGTGCGTTTGTTTTGTGGACGGGCAGGGAACCTCGGTCAACGCGTATGTTGAGCCTGTCTGAGCTGGAGCTGCGGGATGTTGACAGCCTTCACGGAACTTGGTGCTCAGAGGAGCAGCTGTTCAACCGAGCTGCGGTTTGCGTGGCGCAGGTAACCGCTCAGGTGTTACTGATTAACCGCACGCAGGGCGCGGGTTTCCGGCCTGGGGGGCGGGGGGCATGTTGCTATGTCACTGCGGCGCACGTTCATTCATAAAGTCAAATAAATCACATTTTCTGACTGAGATTAAAACGTTTCATTTTATTTACACACGCGATGTGTTGCCAAAGCAGCAATATTCAGGAGGAGCTGCTGGGAGGAAGAGAAAGTTCAACTCAACATGCTGCTGGAAAGAGAAGTGGAACCAGGGGCGTTCACTGGTCCAGATACTGGGGGGGCCTAGCCCAACCTAGTAATAATGTTTTTAATTGACTGCCACATTTACTTCCCTCTGAAGCTGCTGGTGCACGTTCCATCCAACGTCTTCTTGACTGCCTGGTGGACATCAGGGCCTGGACGGCTTGAAATGTCTTAAAGTTGAGTGAGAAGAAGACCAAGTCATGTTGTTTCCACCTAATGGCTCAACCAGGAGCCACTGTGTCGACCTTTTCCTGTCTAACCCCGTTCACTAATCTGGGAGTGAAAATGGACCCTTCCATGAAACTAAACCGTCACGATTGTTACAGCCTGGTTTGTGTTCAGTTGAGGCGACTGTGTAAACTGAAGTCCCCACCGCCTGAAACTAACCTGGAGGCAGTAAAACGTGTTCTCATAACGCCCAGGCTCCATCACTGCAGTGCACTTCTTTTTGGAATCGGACCGCCATCGCACGTGGCAGTTCTGGCCTCCCTTCACTGGCTCCCAGTTCAGTTCTGAGTTCATTTAAAATCCTTCTGTAGGCCTGTCGCGATAAACAATAAATCAATTAATCGCGCGTTAAATGAAAATTTATCAACCTCGTTTTCATTTATCGGCTTCGTTTCTTCGCGTCTCTCTTTCTACTGAAGACACTGGATGACAAAAGGTTCAACTCCGGTGCTCTTCACTGACCCCTCCCTTTCTCTTTTCTCTTTTAAAATCTGTTTTAACCGTCCAAAATTGCGTTTTTGGATTGTTAAAAGCAGCTAAGCTACAAGCTAAGCTAACAGGCCGACCTCGAGGAATAAAGGAGCCTCCCTCCCATTTTTCTTAGACGCGCTGCTCGCTCCCTCGCTATCCATCCTTCAGTTCAAACAGTCTTATACTGCCACCCGGTGGTCAAAAAATGTACTACACTCAAAATTAAACATGTCTTCCTAAATTTGACGATAATTATTGTCAAATTTCAAACAATATTATCGTTTATCGCAATAATTTTTGACAATCGCCCAACAAAGTTTGTTATCGTGACAGGCCTATCCTGTATGTTTTTAAATCTCCGAACATTTCTGCCCCCTCCTATCTGGCTGATCTGCTGCAGCCATATCTCCCACAGCGTTCTGTGAGGTCAGCAGACCAGATGCTTTTACTGGTTCCAGGCACTTGTGTTAAGCGCCGAGGCGACAGGGTCTTCTCTGTTGCAGGTCCAAGACTGTGGACTGAGTTACCAGTCCTTTCTCACTGGTTTTCAAGTCTTGTTTTAAAAACTCACTTTTAGTCCCTGGCTTTTGACACCGAGTTGATTTTAACTTCTCTATGTTCTATAATGTTAGTCATTTATTTCTTATCTTTATTTGGAGCTATGCATTTTTGCTGCGCAGCACTTTGTTCGGCCTTGTTGCTGTTTGAAGTGCTTTATAAATAACGTGGGGTGTTCCAGACAACTGTTGCGTATAGTTAGAGTTAAAAGTAAAACGGCTAAAATGCGTGCCGTACCAGTTATGGTGGCTCGAACGTGGCTGCAAAGGTGATGGGGTTTTGAGACTCGTCACGTTTTTTCCACCCCGACCATTAAAGATTTCACCAAACAAACTTCCCAAATCAGATTAAAACTCACTTTATTGAACGGAACTAAAACGACAGAGAATATAATATAAATGTTGTTTTTTGAGAAATAGGAAGGCGTGACAATTTTAGAGGAATAACAAAAATGTGCTAATTTCTCCTTATGATCCCGATTCTGTGGCTTCAAAAACAACTTTCAGGTCAACTGATCGTCAGGAAAGTTAATGTAGAAAATGGTTTATTATAATGTCCGACTTTTGATTGCTGAAGCCAAATGCGTGAACTCACCAGTCCCAGCGATCAGGGCACAGGTATGTTCACCTGTTTAAAGGTGCTTTGTTCCCACGGTAAACTCACCTTTGAACTCCAGTCACTTGAAGCTGTTAGCTTGGGGCTAACGGTGCATCGTTTGTACGAGGCGCTGTGTGTGCCAGGGTCAAGTACTGGGACGGTTCAGAAGGTGGGAGCTGTCTAATCAAAACAAGTAGGTTTGACCTTGTGCACCATCGAGTGAAAATCCATTTTTTAATGTTTACACTTGAACTCTACAGTTTTATATTCCCTGATGATTAACACTTTAGTGACTAGCCTACGTTGAGGGAGGACACTTTGGAAACGGTTTCTTAATTGTTTTAGCGCAGTGGTGGCTGGGCCGATCTACAGCTGGTATTTTTTTTTAGTCGGGCAAATTTGTCGTTCATTTACGTGGAGGGGCGGAGCTTAGAGTGCACGTGCTCTTTGTTGCTTCAGCTTCCAGTCCTGTCTCTAGTTAAAGGATATCTCGACAGCTTGAACCCCCATTCTGACCTCTCTTCGTCTTGGATTGCTTTCTCAACATTGAATACAACAAAACTGGAACGGTTACAATTCTCAGTTTACATTGGTGATGTTTTTTCCATGCCAGTAGCAGAAATAAAATAATAATTAAAAAACAGTTGTCTTCTGGGCTTGTTAAGAAAATCTTCAGGTTGGTAGCTCCAAAAGTTTCAGGCGTAACGAAGCAGACAGCTGGAGGAATGTTTTCACCGACCGCAGGAGTTGTTCCTCGTGCAAATAAAAATACTGCGACAGGTTTTAAAACGATTTATTTTTACTCTTATTTCGGGTCACGGGGGTCACTTTTTTTTTGTAAATGACTCAATTTGTGGTAAGAATTTTGTAAACCAGACCCATCCCTGAATATTCTCTGATCTTTTCATGCGTCGCTTCCTCCAGAGAACATTTCAGTTTTGTGTTCAAGCTGGAGATGAAGGGAAGCGCACTTCTTTTACGTAATATTGTTTTATCCGTCATTACAGCACAAAGTCACTTTGGCTTGAACAAGCAGAAGAAATTTGAATTCAGAACAGTTACAACTTTATTTTGGAGCATCTTATAACTTTTAAAACGCATGCATTTACTCAATTAAAACACAGTTTATTAAAAGAAAATAAATAAATAAAATCTGGATTTTCAAAGTTTTAATATCTTCCAGAATTAAAATGAAGACAGAAACTCTGCAGGCTTATTTTAATATTTCCCTTTAAACCCTGAAAACACTAAAGGTTCCCAAAAATAAATAACGTGCACATCTGCAAACGCATCATTCAGAAATGTTATTAATTTTCAGCTGTGATAGAGTTGGAGCTCGTGTGCACGTTAGAGCAGTTCTAGTACAGACCTGATCCGGCTCTGCTTCCTGTTGGACTCCAGCTTTTACAAAATGGTGACGTGTGGGTGATTCTCTACACTCCTTTTTTTTTTTTTTGTGCACTTTTGGGCGCGACACTATTTGTTGTTGTGACCATGAGTTCTTTTGAATTGGAAGTCAAACATTTAAACAGGTCTAAGTGCTCCCAATCATCTGTAATTTTTCATTAATTATTAGCCTAACCCTGACCCTCACCCTAAATCTAACCATTACCAGTACATACTTGAGTTGCACTCTGTTCCAAATAGTCCAAACTGGCCCCAGCCCGTAGCCATCATCTCCGAACCCCACCCGATCCGACATATTAACAGTAATTTCAGGTCCGAACCCGGAAAAAACACAACATTTTTAATTAAGCTTTGACTGCTTATACCACCGACTATTATTAACGGTTGGTGCATGCGCGCTGCTGGAGGGGGCTGAAGATCAGAGCTGAAGAGCCCTCAAAGTGCATTAAATGCTTCTCCTGCTTCTGCCTGCATCCTGCTCTGACATGTTGGATATTTTGGGTTCAGGTTAGAAATGACAGCTCTAGTATGTACCTAACCCTAAATCTAACCATTACCAGTACATATGTAACCCCAGACCTAACCCCTAACTCACCAACGACACTTCTTCTTATGGGGCCCAAAGCCCGGGCCCCATAAGAAGAAGTGTCGTTGGTGAGGAGCAGTTGGTCCTCACAATGTAGCATAAATTGGGGAAAAAAAGGTAACAAACACACACACAGCGTATAGTGTTTTCTTGTTTGACTGATAATATCTATACATTGTCTTCTTGTGAACGATGCACATTTTTCACGAGCAGGTACAACACTTCCTGCTTCACGAACGTTTTATTTACATAATAAAAGAAGAAGCATCTTTGACTATCAGTGCTGTGACGGATATTTTCTACAGTCAGGTTCTTCTGTGATTTGCAGACATGGTTAGGTCATTCATTCACTCTACACATGCATAAACAAACTGCTTTTATTTGTTCATGTCAACCACTGTCACTGTTTATCCTTGAATAGTTGGAGTCCCCGGCTGCGAGTCTGAATAAGAACGTATAAATCCGTCTCACGCTTCCTTGTGCCATTGTCCTCCTGGTTTTGAAGGGGTTGTGCTTTCATTTATGTCTCACTGTGTGTGTTTTTAAAGTGTGTCTAATATAAAAAAAGAGATTACAAATCAATAATCGGTTATATATTTGCTACGTCATCTTTATTCTGGAATAATAAGCGTTCTTCTGCTCTTTCTGCAGTTTGTGCGGGGTGATCCAGGATCTCTGCT